GTATCAAGAAAATTTTTTGATACGTTTTAATCCGGCCCTGATTCGGCACCCATAATGGTGTTTTCAAGGTCAAATTTTATAGAAATTTAAAACAATGGGATCTGGGCAGAGTTAGCCTGCCGTGTGATTTATATGCCGTGGTTTTAGTATCAGCAGTGGCGTCACTATCTCCCTTTGTCTCAACCGGTTTTATACAAAACCGAGATGAAAGCAGCCTTGCATTGGCGGCGCTACAAAGTAGAAACAGCACAGCAAAGCGCACAATTACAGAGAGACACAGAGAACATCAGCCCGCTTGGGCTAAATCTCTGATTGAATTAGGGCCTCCACGGAGCAGCGGCGGTACGCTGGCGGGGGTGGCTTTGGCAGCGGGCGGTATGAAGGGGGAGATGTATGGGGGACCCCCTCGAGACAGGCCGTGGAGCGGCGAGGCCCGATGCCGATGTGCGTGTATGATTCACGCATTAGAGACAGAACAGAATTGAGATATTTTGGATTGATGGCTAACAAGTTATCCTTTACAGTTGAGGGTTGGAACCTTTGGTGTTACACAGCAAAATAAAAACACTAAATCACCACAATACACCAAAACACTTTTACTTTTACACTGGACGCGCGTTTCACTAACCATGTTAGCATCATCAGCAGATGATTATAAACTAAAGTACAATCTACAAGTTGAGCGTTTATATACTCGCCCAGTGGGCACCGAGTAGACGTGGCAAAATCTAGTAAACCGCGTCAGAGCCCACTGAGCGTAACAGTTAGATTTCCGCCACTAGAGTAGTAGGAACAAAGAACTTGAAGGAATTAGACCGTTGTCTTTGTTCATACTATCTTTACATTTATTAATTCTGATGCTTTCATATGCATCTAATTGCCTGTAATTTGAGACTTGTTTAATTAATTTTAAATTATTAAGATCTATACAATGTTCTTTATCAACAATATGTTCGGCAACGCAAGATTTATCCGGTCTACCATATCTTATCTGAGCTAAATGTTCTTTAAATCTAGTTAATATTGATCTTCTAGTTTGCCCAACATATTTCTGATTACAATCTTTACAAGAAATTTGGTGAAAATGGTTATCAAGGGAGTTTTTATTTAAGGGAAAATTTACCTGATCATGAACCTTCTTTCGCAGTTAAAATAATATATTGAATTCATTAACAAAATTAAAGATATAACATTGCATGGAGGTGAAATTTTGGTCTCCTTTGATGTATCTTCGTTGTTCCCAAGTGTTCCAATTCCACATACTTTAGGCTTCTTGAAGGAATTACTGAACGCAAATGGTCTCGACAACAAAACTGTGACTGAATATATTGAGCTTACATCGTTATGTATGAAACAAAATTGTTTTCAATTTAATAACAACTTTTTTGAACAACGGGAAGGTACAGCAATGGGTAATCCATTGTCTCCATTTTTGGCTAATTTATTCATGAGCAGGTTTGAAGTGGAGGCTAAGAATCAGTTCGAGTATTTTCCAAGGTATGTGGATGATATTTTTGCTGTTTTTGACACACATTCAGACACCATAGATAATTTTATTTCTAAGTTAAATAATCGTTTTCCTTCCATTAAATTTACGCATGAAATTGAGAACAACGACAGATTACGTAAAAGTGACAGTGTAAAAGTAAAAGTGTTTTGGTGTATTGTGGTGATTTAGTGTTTTTATTTTGCAAGTTATCCTTTATGAAATGGAATTTCATTTTCATAAAATAGTTCAGGACACTTATTTTCAATAACATAGTGCTCGTGGAACAAAATCCCCTAAAGCAGAAGGTTGTGTGGCGTTAGCTATTGTGGTCCAGTTTAACATACTAGCAGTCAAACCTTTTTTTAGATTTTTGGAAACATTTTTTTTAGCTTTTTGCTAAATATCTCCGATAGATCAACTTTATTAATTGGCGGTTACCAAAATTATTTATTATAAAATTACTTACAAAACGGTGTATATTACTGCATGATTTGATTAAACCAGTGACCTCCGGTGAGGGCTTAAAAATTTAAATTTATTTGTTCAAATTTGTGGTTTATATAGAAAATAGTTTTCTATATACTTTTGTTGACATCGGGTCAATCAATAATTTTCCCAATCAGCTCGATATATTGATGATGTTGCTAAACTCTGTTTTTTTTTTCTTAGGTAAGATTTCGACAGACGATGACAGAAGAAAAGCAGATGACGTCCCATACCAATCTATTTATTTTACTAAAAAAAGTTTCTAATAATTTTTAAGTTATCTATGGATGGGTTTAAATATAAATCCGTCATACGTCGTGTCTTGTTGTTTTTAACCAGTTTTATTGGTTTATTTAAAAAATGACAGATCGTATTTCAATTTTATTGGTTTGACGGAACGATGAACGACAAACGGACGCCGATGCGTATGAACTCGCCTTTAGATTTTTGTCATTTTTGACGCTTGTCAAAGTCTTGCCAAATTATAGGTTATAATTTTGTGTCAACTTTTGTTAAATACCCTGCGTTTTGGAAGATGATGCATTTTGATTCGTATTATTACGTGTGTTTTGTGTCTTTTGAAGTCAAGTGGAGGAAAAATCGAGTGAAAATTAACTGTAGACCCAGAGCACAGTTTATGGTTAATACTCGCTGCCCAGGCAGAAAGTCTTATATGGTCTTATACACCAATGAAGTTGCCATCGATAAAGTTTGTATACCATTTCGTCGTAGATAAGTGCATCTCGTATATGGTAGAAGGATCAAACTAAACACATACTAAAAACTGGAGTAGCTGTAAAATATCGACATCACACGATAGGTAAATAATGGATTTTAGTACTGCAGAAAAATAATGTCAAAAGGTACTGGTTTAAAAAAATTAAGATTAAAGTTAGTTAATCAACCTTTAAGGTATAAAATTTGGTAGGTGTTATTATTAATAAAATAGTTTGCTTTATTTACCTATGTTGTTTTATTTATTCCTGTGGAATATTACAAATTTGTATTTGTACATAAGTTATATTGATAAATATAATCATAAATGCGGGTAGTTTCATAAAGCTTGAAAGTAAATAATAGTTCTTTTTTATATTTTTTTTGGTATGTAGTGTCTTGTTCTTGTTTGTTTTGTATTAACACATACCGTTTTTATTAAATAAAATAACTCGATTACATTTTTTCAGTTTTATACAGTTTTTTTCACAATATTTTGAAGTAATCACTTGTCATCTTGTCAATCAAATTTTAAATATATCCTGCTATGCGTTCCAGTTGTACCAGTTTATTTCTTTGTAAAATAAAATAAACTACTTTGAAATTAAAATGACAGACACATCTATCACTGTCAAGGCTCTTCTCGTTGGACAGACTATAGTATTACTCATCAAGCAATACTACTGTTATATTAATCAATTAAGGCCGTAAACAAACATAACATACAATTTTATATACTAATTCATTATATTAAATTTAAATAATAAATATATTGTAATTATATTTCTGCAAATTAAGTAAAAAGCTTTGTTCTTAAATATCTACTATACACATTATAAACGCATGTTCAAATATTAATTTTGTGGTATACAGGGTGGCGCACCTCATTCACCTCAGTTGATTATACAAAAACGGAAAGATATAGAAACAATTTTTTTATGGGTATATGTAGAGAGGCAATCTGCATAATTTAAAATTATTTTCAAACGTACAGGGTGTGTCAGAACTAAGATCCATACCGAAGTTGTATTTTTTCTTATGGAATACCTTGTATTTTATTTCATTTTTGGATTCTTGGGCATAAAATAAGGCATTTATTATAAGAGTTTAATATGCTTAAAAGCTTTGGTTTTTGAGATATTTAAATATGCATGCTACAATAAAAAAAATTGTCAACACCCTGTACATTACTTTTCAGAGTTAATTCTTATGCTGACTTTGAAGCCAGAGTAATAAACTTTACTAAAAAATTATATTGCTGGTGTCGCCATGGCAATTTGCTAGTAGTTTATGGATGTTATTTAAATTTATAACAGTTTACTTTTATTTAATTTACCGACAATAATTTAATAAATAAGTATTTATTATCAAGAAAAATAAAGAAGTAGTTCTTTGATTTATATTACGATGACTTGTAGATATATTATGTACTTTCTATAACAGAACCAATTAAGGCAAATTCATTTTCTTCACTTCCAACGACAGCTTTCTGCCTAATAGGTTTTTCATATACCACACTATCAGATCTGCGAAATAAGAAAAGTAGTTTTTCAAAGGAACGTTTGTCAAGAAATTTTTTTTTGGATATCTTTGAGCATAAATCCTTCAGCAATAATTGTCCTCACAAAATAAAACCACTAGTAACATATCCATTCCTTCCGTCAGCAGATACTGCTTCATTTTTCTTGGTAAAATAATAAATACTTACTTATTAACCTTATTGTAGGTAAATTAAATAAGAAGTTTTTATGTAAAATAAATATTTAAAATAGACCAGTAATTTTTGATACCCCTGTATACATTTAAGGAAGCAATCAATTTTTTTAGTAAAGTTTATTTCTCTGGCATGAAAGTCAGCACAAGAATTAATTCTAAAAAGTAATGTACAAGGTGTTGACAAACTGTTTTATTATAGCATGCATATTTAAATATCTTTAAATATGTCAAAAATCAAAGCTTTTAAACATATTAAACCCTTATATCCAAGAATCCAAAAATGCCCTTCGCCGAGGTCCTCCTTGACCTGCTTTGGACTGTTTTCCGCATAGTGTAGTAAGTGTATTACAATCAATGCAACACATCACGGCGTCGCGTCGTTTATGTCGCCTCCATCGTAAGATTGGTCGTACGCTAAGACAATATAATTTAATATTCAATATAATTTAATATAAAATTATATAGTATAGTATAGTATAGTATAGTATATATAGTATAATTTAATATTATGTTTTTTATTAAGTTAATATTATGTTTTTTTTTGTTAAAGATATCGTTTTTTTTGTTCTTCACCAATACGAAACAAACGACTCACCTGTATCCTGGCCTCGTTCAATTTCGTACTCCTGGCCAGCTCCTCCCGGCAATAGATGTCCGGATAGTGGCTTTTGGCGAAGGCCGCCTCCAGCTCAGCCAGCTGCTCCTGCGTGAACGTGGTCCGGTGGCGGCGACGCGCAGGCGTCGGACACGAAGCGGTGGTGGGGGTGTGGCCGGCGTGGGAAGGCCCGCCGCCCGGCGAGACAGCGCCACCTATCGAGGAGGCGCCGGTAGCGGATTGAGGCTCGGGTTTCAGTTTTTTGAAGGCGCCATCTGCAAGTGGACAGAATAAAATAGTTTGATATTGAAAGTGGGTGTGGGTAGTATCTATTTTTTTGTAAAGTAGATTTTATCATTAAAGGGGTCTAATGGGCCCTAATGCGGCGAATTATACAGTTTACACCGAAAAAATATAAGTAATTTTACAAAAAAAATATTGATACATTAGAGTATTTTTAATAAGAAACTTGTAAAAATAAGAAATATTTGAATAGTTTTACAAAAAATATATAACTTTGCAAAACAGTTTATTAATATTAAATGATTATTACTTAACGATATTATTTTCACAATGAGTTTTGTGAGTTTAAAAATTAAATTTAAATCAGAAATACAATCTGAGACACACCCTAAAATGCATATTTGACAAATAATGACGACGTAACGTTGAACGATCCCTAACAGATTAGTATTTAATTTTCTCTAAATGGGCTAGTGATGGGAATACCGGTTCCACATGAGTCGCGTTACAATAGCGACCGTTCCAGAAAAATACCGCGATTTTGTAACCGAGATTCCGACTTCCAAAGTGTCGCGGTCATCGCTAAAAATATATCTAACTTATATCTGCTACTCATTTTCCAAATATTGATTTTATAATTGTGTATAGTCAATCTATCTCATTTTTAGAAAAACGATGACATTCCTTGTTATTTTTCACGAATAATTTTCGTTTAAATAAAATCAACGGCTCATATTTATGTGTATTGCAATATAATATACTTAATGTTAAAACCAAGAACAAAGTCCAAACCACTGTCAAAAAAAATGTTTATTGGCCTACCCTAACCTTAAAAATAGATATAAATGCATAAAAGCAAATAAAATATTTTTATTGTATTTTATTTGCCTTTTGCGTTTCATCTTTCAAACAACGCTATTTTATACCATGCCTAGTACATACCAAAAATCGCTATTTTGAAAGTAACTTAGCGACGGGAGCGCCAACGCCAATAGTAACCGACTAAATCGCGACAGGCAAAACCGGAACCCTAGAAGCGCTCCAGCGACTGCTGGAACGAAGTACGTCACCGCCGAGGTCGAGCGTCGATAGCCAGTTACAGCGGGGAGGCAGGGACCTGTTACTTCTCTTCGTGACAGACGGAACTACGGCTCTAGGAGCGCGACGGCTGGAGCGAAGTTACGTCGCCGCCGAGGTCGAGCGTCGATAATCAGTTACAGCAGTTACCAGTTACTTCTGTTCGCGACAGGCGGAACTACGGCTCTAGGAGCGCGACACCTGGAGCGAACACGCGCGACGCTACGTACATACCAGTGTCAGTTACTACTGTTGGCGACTGACGAAATCGTGACGGCTGGAGCTAAACACGTCGATATGCGGTTACTACGGTTCAAGCTAACTTCAAGAGCGATAATAAATAATTTATAATTTTGTCGTCATTATGATCATCGTTCTTCAGTAACAGGTTCCTGATACGTTGTGAAGCGCGACGCGTTGCTAAAAAAAATCGCGTTACTCAAATACCGACACATCACTAAAATGAGCAACTTTACCTGTATATTCTAATCTACACTTCACCTCTGCTAAACTAATTCCACATCCAACTAATCCTTTAAGCCCCTATCCCCTCCCTTTCTCATCCCTTAATCCCAGCACTAAACCGCTATTCCCCCAGCCAAAGGCGTGACCCATATGGAACCGGGCCCTGCTCTAATCAAGTGTCGATTTACCAGAAATAGAGTGCGCTTAGCATTAGAGCATATGTATCGGGACAATGATTTCAATGCATTGTCTTGACCATGGTTAACACTCAATTTCACATATTGTACGTACATGCGAGGAGTTGGCTAAAAGTTGACATGTGTGTGTGCTGGTATATTTTGGGGGGTGAAGGTCTCTAAGGGTGTTCTAATTACAGAGTAATTACGCGGATTTATTTTGTTATCCGTAAAATAGGGCTTAACAATATCGGTAAAGGGAGATAAATGTTTTTCTGACGGTACTGTTAAAATTATTGTTTTAATGATAGAGTAGTGGGTGCAAGTCTGTAGAGGTACACATTTTTTTCATAATTTTTGAAGTGACACTTTTATACGCGCGTTGGGAATAAAACTTCAAGGCAATGACGGCCGTGACACAGAAGCGCGAGACGAAAAGTGGTAAGGGCAGGTCACACTGAAAAAATATAAGTAATTTTACAAAAAAAAAAATATTGATACATTAGAGTATTTTTAATAAGAAATTTGTAAAAATAAGATATATTTGAATGGTTTTACAAAAAAAAAAATGTAATTTTGCAAAACAGTTTATTAATAAAATGATTATTACTTAACGATATCATTTTTACAATGAGTTTTGTGAGTTTAAGAATTAAATTTAAATCAGAAATACAATCTTGTAGTAAAATAGCATATCTTTAGACATAAAAGCATATCTTTAGACATATTCACAAAACCTTGTGTGAATTTACCATAATATATTTAGTAAAAAATGATGCCACGTTATGTGATTTCTTGTAAAGCTGATGCATATTAAGTAATCGACGTAGTTACATAGTTAGAGGAAACCAAGATCGACGAAGAACATGTTAACACAGATTATACAGATTATAAACTTTGTTTTTTCTTTATTGTTTTTCGTGGTTCCAATTTTCGGAATCGGGCACAGTTAGGTTACTAGTTTGCGCACATAGCACGCCCACTTATAACCTCTAAAATTGTGCACAGCGCCTGACCGGTACAGTTATTAGAGAGATATCGGAAAACCGAATAGCGTCATGCAGTATTTACGCGTACCTTATCATGGTTACGATATGCGCGAGTCAATTTTTAACGCAACACCCGCTAATAACGTTACCGCCTGACGTAATTTGCGGATCAATTACACATTACACCAAGCGCTATTTCTAAATAACGTTTAAAAATTGCTTAAATAGGCATGTGCGAGTATTTGACAACCGGGGCCGGCCGGCGAGATCTTTTATTTTAGGTTATGTTTGAATTGTTTTGAATTATTACTTTAGTTTTAATAGGTAATTTGATATTTAAGTAGCTGGGATTAGATTTAATTAAATAAATATGGCCCAAAATATGGATTCCACCTCTTCCAATATTAAAGAACCTGTAAAGAGGCTTAGATTCTAAGAGAATTTGTTGCTTGTTGCCCTAAACCCACTGGCAGACGTTGAACAATAAAGCACTGGAAATAAGCACTTTAGCCCTTTAGTTTTAAAATACCTAGTAAACAAAACAATTTCAAAGTTTTGAATTCAAAGTTAGGATAAGTTTAAATAGCGGACGCGACGCGAACAGAATTCTTTCCGATCCGATAACTATAAATTACTATAAATGAAGAGAGTTAATACCGCCTCACGTCAAGGAAATAACACCTGGCTTTATTAACGTCCATGCACGCTATTCGGTTTAGCGATATCTCTCTATTACGCTGTTTATTGTTATTTTACGCGAGTTTATTTTTGGGCACAGAAAATTTTACTCGTTTGCACATCGTCATAAAAAAACAATTTTCGTACCACGAATTAGGAACAAGATTTTTATCTGTATACTTATAGGATACCTAATCTGTGATGTTAATATAAGCAGTTTTTTGAACAGCTGGGAGTCTCAGTGCGCGGGTAATAAGTGTTTTTATAGTTTCAGGATAAGTATATTATATTAATTATATTTATATGCAGTTTCTGTAAATATAAAGCCAGCTCTCTTAGAAAAGACAATATCAATTTATTATTATTATTTGCATTATAATTTTAGCGATTTTTTATGTAAGCATAATTTTGTTCCATGATCTCTCTATATCAACATATCTGAAATATTATTTATTCTTTCAGACTGTGTTTCGGTGGACAAATTTAATAGAGGACCGGAATAGAGGACTCTAACCTAACCTAACCTATCTAATGGCAATTTTGTTCCTATTTTGGTTAGGCGCAGAATTCCAGTAAGGTTCTTCTAGATAAGACCAGATGGCAGTGAGTATCTTACATACATAAGTTATGTTTTGTCACTTTTTATTATCTAACCTTTATAATAAATATTATAAATACAAACGCGTGTTTTATGAAATTTATTAATATTTACTATAGTCTAAGAGTTGGCTACATAAAAAACCTTATCATTGTTACATGGCTAATTTTTTGTGTGAAGTATCCTTTTGTGTAGCCATTATGAAATAGTCATCTCTGCCAGCGCGATCCCGGGGCTTAAAGCGAGGGCGGTCAATCGAAATGGTAAAATTTTGACATTAAAAATATTATAAGGTACACGAGTTATAATTACGAAAATAGCTATTTATTATTAAGAAACGTGGATAATTGTTGGCAGACATTTTTCTGGTCGCTAAAATGCTGACAGACAGCGCGAAAGAGGCATAAATTTTAAAAATTATCTCGAAAATTATTAAAAAATGAAATTTGAAGAATGAAAAAAATATATGGCATACGTGCATGCCGATTAGTGGAATGTTATATTTATTTATTTTAAAAGCCGTATACAAAAAGGCAGACAAAAATATCGTTGCTAAATCAGCTCCAGACAGTTATCAAAAGCGCGATATTACTCTAGCGCTTTCAGGGAACGATCGCCGCCTCATCCATTTAAGTATAGATAAATCATGTATACGATTATATTATAAATATTTTTTTTATTATTTCAAAACAGATATCATACGTTTACTATTCTGTATCACTATTTGTATCTGACTCATCGTACTGCAGATAGCGCAGATCCCCGCTCTCGCAAACGAGTCTTCCTCTGAGTCGATATCTGCACCGTAAAATTGTTGTAGAGCTACAGGTATTATGTTTCAATTGATAACGCTGCCAGCATTTCCTGAAAATGCTTATACAGGGTGAGTCTTAAATAAGTGAAAATACTTTTAAGGGTGATATATTTCGACCCCAGGAACACGTCAATGAGTTTTTTTCGCAAAAAAAGATGTAATAAATCGTGCATTATTTTTAAATTTTCCTGTATATTTTAGAAAACTTTTTAGAACTGCCTGTTCACCGCAAATTTACAAATAGTATAATTATCTCTCTCAAGGTGTGGGTTCGATTCCCACACCCCGCATTTCATCAGCCGACTATTTTTATTAAAATAAAAATAGTTTGGGTACCTAGGTCGACTCAGTCTTAAATGAGTACTTGGGATTCACAATCCTGAGGTAATAATAGGCGGTTGAAGCGTAGTGCTAGCCACATTACCTTCCTTGTATACCGAACGGCTCTAGTATAGCAAGCTGTACCTTGCTACTCCCAAGGCCACAACAAGGCGTTAAACGCTATATACGGGAGCTATTATTATTATAATTATTACTTAATTTGTCATGCTTACGGCTTTACTCTATGGCTAGGACACTAAAATAATGAATGCAAGTACTGAAAAAAACAGGTCCCATACAGCACGTCCAAATGAAATTACGTTTCTACAACGGAGACACATGAGAAACAAAATATGTTAAAGTGAACCTAAGTGTTCATCTAGTTCTAACATATACATATGAGATACACGCAGGTTTATATTGATAAAATTGTGTGATACAGTATTTACTATAAGAATATATTCTATTTAGTTGTTTACCATATGCACTCAAGATTCTAAATAGATTTTTGTAACGTAACAAATAATTATTAAGATGATGAAATCTGACGTCGGTATATGAGACATACAATGTATAAGTCATATGTATGTGTGATACTTCGTATCATAGTTGTGCCTATAGTACACACCTTGTAAAAATGTGACGTATACACATAATATAAATATCTATATAGACACTTTGTAATAGTGTACTGTTGTGTCTACATTCTAGCATGAAATGAAGGTTTGCGCACGCGCGGATAGCCTCAGCATAGACACAGCGACTGTATATGTGACTGCGAAGTGTATCTTACGTGTCCTATTTCCTTTCTCCTTTCTAGGAGTGGTATGTGTTAGCAGCCATTATTGTTTTATCATTCGGAAGCTCTATATAAATGTTCTGTTTGTGTGTAGTTTAAAAGAGATTTTAAGGTAAGCACAAGTTTTTAATTACCTTGTTACACCTTCCTAAGAGTATTATTAATGTTATAGCAGCGACTCTTCCCTTACTCGATACCCAATTTACCAAATTTTGACTCCAATGAATGAAAACTCCAAATATTCTCGTATAATGATAAAGAGGTTAGCTAAGTTAGCTCTGCAATATAATTTTTTTTTTAATTTGGAAATAATAAAAATCTAAATGAACCAGAGAAAGAAATATTTAAACACTTCAAAGAACTTCTTACACTGATATTCGGTAAGTTATTGATGGATCAATATACAGATATGTTTAATATTCAATAATCAGTTTCATATAAAATTTAAGGGTGAGATTGTTAATCTGGAAATAAAATACAACAAAGTCCAACAGAGTGCTCGATGAATGGGTATGCTAAAAACCAACTGCTTGGAGGGAAAAGAGGAGAAAAAAATGACTAAACGAGGTCCACCAAATTGTGGCGATATACCAGTGTTTACCATTTTAGTATGTTGTTATAATAGGTACTTATATTTTTAATACATTTTGATACAAATTCTATTATTTTACAGTGTTTTTTTACTTCTGGTTTCTGCAGTGTAAATAATTATTATTATTGTGTTATTTGCGCTATTGCATTCCATGATATAAAGAAATATAAGAATTTTATTTTTTAACCACTTAATCCATTTTGTGGAAGAAAAATGGTACATTTAATACAAAACAAAAATGGAACAATTTTAAGGGTTCTTCTCTTGAACTTACGATCGAGATACTTTTGGAAAATACAAAGTTTTGCCTTCCTAATTTTCGTTCTAAAAAGATATAAATGGTATCATTGAATAAATATTTCTTAAAAAGAACGAAAAGTTAGGCATCAAAACTTATATTATTTCCTAAATTCGTTCATAAGAAGTAGTTTTATCTAGCACAAGATGTATATACGAAGCAAAATACATACGTATACACGCGGTAGTCACAACTGCAATGTGTAAACAGAGTTTAAACGTAATACACGAGCACTGTGTATCCTACGGCACACTGTGTGTCCCTTACTTTGTGTATGCGTAAATGCTATACTGTGGCTACATTGTGAGACGGACGTTTAACCTTTGTGCATACGTGTTGAACTACAATGTGTAAACGTAGCATATTTACATCGGGGGAATTGTGTCACGCTGTGTCTACATCTAAAAATGTAAACACATCGTAAATGTGATTTGATGTGCTGTATGGGGCATTTTCGAATTAAATGAGAAGCAAAAACATCTTATTTTACTGTATTTTCGGAAATATAATAAAACATAAAAAAGTATATATTTCTACTTTCACCTCGAGGTGTTCATTTACATAAAAAAAAAGTCAATCTGTTCAATGCATCAGATAAGGATTTTTTCCTTAACACGATAGTGAGGTGGCGTGGCTTGTGTCATACCTGTATGATCTGTGATCGTCCTGGCAGCGGCGGGTGGGGTATGCGCTGGGGTATGACTCCCATGGTGGTCATGCGAATGTGGCAGACCACCATAGAGGGCGCTGAAGTCTTCCGCCGAACTTCCGCTTGTGTTGCACTTGCGCGTTGACTTGTCCACGGCGGCCGATGTCAGATGTTGATGGTGTTCGTCCAGCAAACCTTGAACACCTACAGATTTTTATGTTTGTTTATTAAAAAGAGTCACCCTAAAGGGTAAGGTATGACTAACTTATTACAAATCTTTGAATAAAAAGACCAAGAAAGAGAGTATCAACACCCTTTTCGTAATGGAGTTTTATATATATTTTTTTAATCGAGTACAAATACACGAGCTTAAATAACGAGTACAGGGTGGGTCAAATTCGACGCTTTTAAATGGAAACACCCTTTTCTATAGGAGATAGACGAAAACTAATATCGGTGTCTGGAGCTCAATTTTCTTCAAAAACATGATGGTGAAAACCGTATATCGATATCTGTTACCGTTTCGGAGTTACGGGGTCTTTTTCAAAAATATGCATTTTTAACAAATCGCTGTAACTTTTTTGCTATGGAAAATTTTGTATTTTTATGAAAACATTTCCAAAGCACCTTTTTAGGTAGAATTTAATGGTTTAAGTATAATTTTTTTAAAATTAATAATTTAAGAATTATCAACAGAAAATTTGATATTTTATATGGGACACCCTGTATATTTTTAATTTATTGAAAAGAATTTAAAATTACCTTTCCAAAAATATAACACACTTGATATTTTGCTCGATTCCTCTTCGAGATATAGAGTATATAAAAATTCGCCCGCTTTAAATAAGTAGGCTTTGAACGGCACCGGCTGTAATGCAAAAAAATTCTAGCTGTGAGCATCAATTAAAACGAAAATAATATTTGCTATGAGAGATGTAGAATTTTATAACAATTTAAAATATGTTTAACCAACATCAACACATTTAAACTATATCTAATAACAATAAAAATAAATAGCAAACCAAGACATGAGATTTTGCTACAGGCGTTCGACATATCGACCGTCTTCTGTTATGGACAGACAGATAGAGGGGTTTGGAAATTTTTGGAAAGGTAATTTTAAATTCTTTTCAGTTAATTAAAAATATAGAGTGTGTCCCAAATAAAAAATCAATTTTTCTGTTGATAACTCTTAAATTATTAATTTTAAAAAAATTATACTTAAACCATTAAATTCTACGTAAAAAGGTGCGTTGGAAAAGTTTTCATAGAAATACAAAATTTTCCATAGCAAAAAAGTTACAGCGATTTGTTAAAAATGCACATTTTTGAAAAACACCCCGTAACTCCGAAACGGTAACATTGATTTTCACCATCATGTTTTTGAAGAAAATTGAGCTCCAGACACCGATATTAGTTTTCGTCTATCTCCTATAGAAAAGGGTGTTTCCATTTAAAAGCGTCGAATTTGACCCACCCTGTACACGAAAAATGTGTTATAATATTATTTGAAAAGTATTAGTAAGTGCAAAATATGAAGATTTTAGAAAAAAGGTCTAAATCTTCTGATATCTTCAGAGAGTCTATCGAATTATAATTTATTATTCAAGGTAATAAACATTTTTAGATGAGTAATTAGTGGTGGTAATTTTCAGTCAGTAGAAAAAGTTAAAATATATATTATATATAAAGATAGTATAACTATTATAATAAATACAGTATAACTAATAAATGCTTTACTAAATAAATAAATATATATACATATATATTATCTGGATGGTCGTAAACTCATAAGATAAAGTATAATTATCAAAACCAATAAGTTCTTGGTTCTGAAAGATGTTTAACAGCAAGTAGTCGTATCGTTCACGAGAGCTCAACAAAAATTTTTTTGCAGACCAGTATTATAGCAACCCTATTTGGAAATTCCTCCAGAACTAAAAACAATTCTCTAATGGGGACAGTATCGTATGCTTGAGTGTGGTCGAGGTGTGTCTCACTTGGGTAAAAAATGTACATCTACCTACTGCCAAAATATCATTTTACTGCCAAGCGGCGCGGCGCACATACGGCAAATTGTCTACTTTAGGACGATAAAAATATTTTCTACTGAAAAATTAATAGTTTCATATAATAAGTAATAATTAAAATCATAGATTTACTGGAAATATACATGGAAAGAGTAAAAATTTGAAAAAAACGATGTACCTCAAGAATCATTCTGATTCATCGCTATCTTCTGTTTCGTCATCATTAATATCATCACCTCTGACAACAGGTTTTCGTTTTTTTGTCGTTTTTCGATAAAAAGATATTATGGAGCCCGAGACAATTCTTTATCCGCCGAAACAAGCTGTGTTGACGTCTCTCTGCAGCACTTCTTTCAAAGGGCTTTTTTGGCCTGCCCTTTTTTGATTTTGCCAGTCCTTTTTATCCAGTATGAGTATGAGTAAATCAATCAGTATGAGTAATTTGAGGCAGCTTGAAACTCCCTTTTAGCCCGTGAGTATTTCTTTTCAAAAATCTATTTGGAAACAAAGGTCTGTCTTCAAACAGCACTATAACTTGCAATATCACAAATAAAATTAAAATGTTTTCAAATTCGGATGTACTACTGACTAATAAAAAATACTTATCTATAAACAGCATGCTTTTTTTGGGATCAACAGAAATTTGATTTTTGTCGTCCTACGGGATATAAATAGCCGTATGTGCGGCGGCCAATGACTGGCGAAGAAGACTTCCTATGTCTGTCTAATTATACTCGACAGACACCAACGACTGCCAGCGACTGTCAAGAAAATATACATGTAACTCCAACAGTGAGACACCCCTCCGGTGTGGTCAACAGAAACGAAGTGCGTCAATTCAAATTAAAATTATCAAAAATTACTCACCTAACAAATTTCCTACTCCCACCAGATTCGGTCTCAGATCCTCCATCATCGATTTGCCTTGGGGGCAGGCGTTGAAGTTCAACTGCCTGGAGAATATCGCCGGAAATATGTTGAATTGCTGATGGCTGAGGTCTTCGCCTCCACCACCTCCACCTGCGGACACTGAGGGGGCAGGGGACGAACCCAAGGCCCCCAGGCAGGAGGACACCCCTTTGAAATCCAACGTGAGGCCTTAGATGACGTGGCGTGAAGTAGATGTGAGCATGGGGGGTTGATGAGCGTTGAGCGGTTGGTGGGGTCTTCTGGGATGCACTTTGGTTTACTGTTTTGGGTTTAATAATTTGTGGGTTTCAAAAAGTGTAATTGTTTTCGTTTATAGAAGATCAGAATCACTTTGAGTTATAGTTCTTGGTTTAAATGTCCAGAGATTATAAAAGAAAGGAGTTTTCGTTTATAGAATTTCAGAAGTATGTTTTTTACAGCTTGTGGTTTAATCCATAGAAGGTATTAAAAATAATTACAACTTTCTGGGAAGAATTTTATGTTGTGTTGGTAGAGCTAAAGACTAATAATGAAAAAAATGACAAGATTTCTTTGTTTAGTTTACACTCTAGCTTAAAGTTTTTGGCTTAATTTTTGATTTTTTGAAATTGAATGTACGTACACTTAAAATTAGTTAATTGCACCTGTTCAGTTTGTGTTTAAGTTATCACAGTTTTATCTTTGTTTTTTTTGTGTTAAGTTCGTTCTACTGAAGTAAAGGATATAATTTTGGAGTATGCATGTTTTATTTTAAACTGTTATAATTCTTTAAAGTTGATTATTTAAAAGCTTTTTTCTTGGGACGTTGAAGTTCATTTCATTTTATCTGAAAAAAAAATAAAAAGAATTTGGTGGTTTCAAAAAATATGGAAACAAATCTGCTGCTTTATTTTTATTATTTATTTATATTAACTTTGACTTAAAATATGTCCTAAACGAGATGTATAGTGTGACCAACGGATCTGTAGCTACGGGGTATCGGCAGGGGAACGCAGTTGTAAACAAAACACGCCCAACTTCATTCATAAAATAGGCATGGGCGTACGGTGTTTTATGAAAATAATGTGCATCATAAATATAATATTCAGATTAATAATTTTTTCAAAAAACTTTATGCTGTTTGAATCGTTACTGTTGAGTTAGCAGATAAACACTAAAAGCTTTTATTAAAGCTCCCTTAAATATTTTGAATCAGATTATTATTATGTGTTGTTAATATAATAGAAGAAATAACTACAGCTGGGGGTTGGAACCTTTGGTCTTACACAGCAAAATAAAACACTAAATCAGTACAATACACCAAAACACTTTTAATTTTACACTGGACGCACGTTTCGCTAACCATATCTGCCATCAGCAGATGATCAAAACTGAATCTTGAGGTATATTTATTTATATATCTGTACTAACTATATTTTTTCTATAATACACAATTTTAGATATAACTATTTCCAGCAAAACAAATCTTGAAAATAGTTAACTTTGGAAGCGCAAACAAAACATACTTTTACTCACCAGTAGATAAAATATTGCCTATTACACCAGATATGGTATAGCTTCCCCAGCACTTTTTAACGGTTAGGTCATTGTCGACCCATATGTTTCATCCAAATAGATAATACTTGGCTATATTTTCGAATTTCGCGTATATATTTATATCTCTCTCTGCAATTTAATGTGCCGCTCCATTAATATTTATCTGTTATTTTGACATTTACGCCAAAAAAATTCATTTCATTTTAATAACCCCCTTAGCGTTTCCCTGCCAAAGGAAAATTCGATTCTTCCTGCAATTTTTGCAAAAGCTTTCTAATTGTGGGGACGAGTTTGAATTCGAGATAAAATCTATTTATCAAATTCCTGGCCACTTGGAAAAAGTCGTCGAGCATTTCAACAGCAGTCTCACGTGGTCGTTTCTTTCCAGGGCTGGATATTATTTTATCGGGGTTAGTTTCCAGCCTTTTTTTATCTTCTGTGTGAATTTTTTATAGCCGATACGCTAACTCCGGTATAAAGAAATATCCGCTCAAGTTTACGTTTAAGCGGCAACTTTTTGTTTAAGCTCGCAAACCCTATTATGAACACAAGGAAATAAACCAAATAAGATTTCATCCATGTTTATTTATATTTATTTTAGTTTAGCTAAAATATTTAGGTAAAATGTGGGTGCTTTTCATTTTAGCCAATATTTAATTTTAATATTCTAATTATATTATTATTATTCTACTTACCTATATAAATTAGCTATTATATCTCTTGTCTGACTATGTAGCGTCTTACCTTTAACAAATTTATTCATTTTAAAACACAAATATACGATCAAACTTGATATTAATAATTAAAAACTACGAACGAAAAACATTATAACAAGATAACAAAACAATAAAACACAACTTAACTACCAAATATACGAAAAATATAGGAATAAAGTTTAGGATAACCGGTATAAAATAATGAAATAAAGTAATAATGATCAAAAGAATGACACCGCCACTGGATATTTCAATAGTATTCAATATTCCTACCCTTTTCAGAAGAGACCGTGAAGTTGGGGATAAAGCAAGCGAATAGGAAAGGCGTAAAAGCCATGGCAACCGCGTGGTAACAAATCCTGTGACGTACTCTCGCCAATCATGTTCGATGAATAGGCGGCCATGCGCGGCGATGCCCGTTTGCCAATGATATCGTTGAAAAATCTTCAACTTTCATAATAAGCAGATTATACAGAATGAAAGAAATAAGTTATTAAATAAAACATATCGAACAATATGAACTACGTTAAAATTCCTTAGTAATATACGTCAGAATATATGCTAAACACATTATATATAATAAAAATATATTAAATTTATAGTTCATGTCTGGCAATTTTGCAATTTTATAGATAAACGTGACAATGTCGATTTTTTTTTCTCGCATTCCTTCCGTAGCTTCAGATCCGCTGGTCAAACAGTACGGGGTGTCTCATTGTGGTTGAAATCATAGGGAATCTCCGTTATTAGTAAAGATAGGAAAATGCGGTTTGCACAGACCTGTCCCACTTTTTTGTCAAACGGAAGATGCTACCAAAAAATTTGTCATATCCCTCTTCGTTTCTGAGCTACAGGGAATTTTTGAAAATTTTGCAGTTTGGGACAGCCCCCGTGTCTTCGTTATCTCTCAAATTGCAAGATTTTCAAAAAGATCCTGATGTCGCTTAGAAACGAAGCAGCATCTTTTTTTGAAAAAAGTGGGACAGGTTGCTGCAAATATAGAAGGGTGCCTTCTATCTTCACTGATAACGGAGATACCGTATAATTTTAACCAAAACGCTACACCCTGTACAGGGTGGGTAAAAAAAAGCGTCGATTTTAAATGGAAACACCCTTTTCTGTAGGAGATAGACAAAAACTAACATCGGTGTCTGGAGCTCAATTTTTGTCAAAAACAAAATGGTGAAAACCGCATATCGATATCTGTTACCGTTTCGGAGTTACGGGGTGTTTTTCAAAAATATGCATTTTTAACAAATCGCTGTAACTTTTTTGCTATGGAAAATTTTGTATTTTTATGAAAACATTTTCAAAGCGCCTTTTTACGTAGAATTTAATGGTTTAAGTATAATTTTTTTAAAATTAATAATTTAAGAATTATCAACAGAAAATTTGATTTTTTATATGGGACACCCTATATATTTTTACTTTATTGAAAAGAATTTAAAATTACCTTTCCAAAAATATAACACACTAGATATTTTGCTCGATTCCTCTTCGAGATATAGAGTATATAAAAATTCGCCCGCTTTAAATAAGTAGGCTTTGAACGGCACCGGCTATAATGCAAAAAAATTCTAGCTGTGAGCATCAATTAAAACGAAAATAATATTTGCTATGAGAGATGCAGAATTTTATAACAATTTAAAATATATTAACCAACATCAACACATTTAAACTATATCTAATAACAATAAAAATAAGTAGCAAACCAAGACATGAAATTTTGCTACAGGTGTTCATTTATATCGACCGTCTTCTGTTATGGGCAGACGGGGCAGTTTTTGAACATTTCTCGCGGTATTCATTAACTCAGTGGGGGTGAAAGATACCCTCTCATAACTGCTAAGTATTTTTAATTCTTGTCTAGATTATACGGAAGAATAAGGAACCTTTATTCTTCCGCAAATATATTCATAGGATTAGATCCATGGGTACTAAGTCAGGCGGCCTCGACGGCCAACGGCTGAGATCTTGGTTAGCTATCCAATTATTCTTGAAATTGGCTGCAAAAATTTGCTGATAAGCTCAGCGTTCAGAGGCGATGCGTCGTCTTGCTGGAAAAATATGTTTTCGAGTTCCATTAAAGGCATTATCATCAATAAGGGGTCCAAAGCCTACTAGTTAAAAGTGGCGAGCTTTTAAAAATTCTGTATTTCGAAGGGGATTATAACAAAATATCAAGTGCGCTATATTTTTGAAACGGTAATTTTAAATTCTCTTCAGTTAATTAAAAATATATAGGGTGTCCCAAATAAAAAATCAATTTTTCTGTTGATAACTCTTAAATTATTAATTTAAAAAAAAATATACTTAAACCATTAAATTCTACGTAAAAAGGTGCTTTGAAAATGTTTTCATAGATATACAAAATTTTCCATAGTAAAAAAGTTACAGCGATTTGTTAAAAATGCACATTTTTGAAAAACACCCCGTAACTCCGATACGGTAACAGATATTGATGTGCGGTTTTCTCCATTATGTTTTTGATGAAAATTGAGCTCCAGACACCGATATTAGTTTTCGTCTATCTCCTGTAGAAAAGGGTGTTTCCATTTAAAAGCGTCGAATTTGACCCACCCTGTACACCAAAAATTTTAGGTTGCCACTTATTTATTAAAAAAGTTTATTAACGAACATTGTTAACGCTTCTAATAGACTAAATCTTCTATATAGCTAATTATTAGAATAATTCATTAAAATATAAAAAAAATCATTAGACATTTTTAATTTAAAAATACGTAAATTTTAGAAGAAAAAATATTTATATGTTTCCGTATCAATAATTTACAATATCATAATTCAACATTGAATGTGCCAGTAAAACTTAAACTAAATGATCCATTTTACTAGAGTCTATGTTTTTCATCCGTCGGAAAAAATAATGTGTCCAACAAAAATATTTTCAAATTTACTATTTTCAAAAGATTTTAAGAATTTAAGAAAAAATTAAATAGCAGAAAAACTTTCATAAAACATTTGCCAATAATAATAATTATTTTTATTCAATATTCAATTATTTTTCAATATTTCTTCGAAAAGTTTTTATATAAATTTTTAATAAATTACGTGCTCAACCTGGTCAAAATTATCATTGATCGTCATTGGTCATTCTCCAGGTCTCTCTTGGTGCGGTTTTTTTTTCTATCATAGAGTATATTGATCTATATATTTACTTTCTTGTATATAATTATAGTTTTTTATTGTAATTCTCTAACCTCTATTCATAAAACAACCAGGGGTGGATGGGGAAGTGGAAATCGGCCCGGGAAAAAACAGGCAACCGGCCCAAATCCACAAAAACGAAATGACCATAACGAAGAAACATATTTTATTTATTAATATATAAGTAAGGGTGTTTTTCGCTCGTGCAAAAAAGCTCTATCGCCTCGGGTTTAAAAAAAAATTAAATTGTCTTGATCAAAATTTTCGTAAAGACCAATATTGAGTCGGATATCTATATTTTTACTATAAAATGGCTCAATTTTACAGGGTCCTACTGCCTTATTTCCATTTCGATAACGGTAATTTAATCTTGAATAGGCTACGATTTTGAGTCACCATTTTGAGAAAC